CGAGCAGTAGGCTCCCCGGGCCGGATGCCCGGGTGAAGACCACAGCCACGGGCTTCACTAGGGTGAGAGCGAGAGGTCACTTGCACGTGAGCCTGGTGGCCCAAGCGCAGTAGGGTAGCGCAGGAAAGCCACCTGCGCTGCCCGGCCAGTCTTGGGTGGTGAGCATGGCTACGAGTGGCCTCACCTTGTCTCTCCAGCACCTCCTTCCCGTATTTGTATAGCGAATGTATGTGACCCTTGCATGAGATTGTTAAGATGTGGTCCAGTAGGCCAGAAATGGCCCTTTCTCTTTTGAGAGAACCTGCCACTATTTCTGCCAGCAAGGACTGCTGCTGGGGAGTCCATTTCTGCATGCCTACTTCATAGGCAATGAGGTTTGTGCCATTTTCGGCAGCGCTGAGAAACCCCCTGACGGTGTCGTTGAGGTAGAGCTTGCAGCCAGCCTGGATCTGGACCACCAAGGGGTCTGCGGCCGGAAAGAGAGAGCGGAGAGGTGCCCTGAGTGGGCGGGCAGGCGAGAGCGGCCGGAAGAGTCGCGCGCAGGGCAGAGGCCGGGTGGTTTGGGGAGCTCTGGGAAACCATGCTGGGCCCTCCAGCCCCTCGACCCCCAAGGACGGCTCAAACACGGGGGGCTGAGCGGGAGTTCCTTGAACACGGCCAAACGGTCTCTTCTCCTCGCCCGCTTCGTGCGGTGCTTGTCCTGCAGCCCGGGACAAAATCCGGGGCAGGTAGCAGCGAGCAGAGCAGAGGGTTCATCCCGCCCCAGGGACAGGAGCTCCGCGGGGCGTTATCCGTGCTGCACTCGCGCCTCTGGGGCAGCTTCCCAGAGGTGAGATCCAGCCCCGGCGCTGCCCCGGCCAGGAGCCCGGCCTCGGTCCATGAAGCCGGATGCCCCGGAGCTACTCGGAGCCCAGGGAAAGGAGGGAAGAGCCTGTATTCACAGGCCAGGCCGGCCTGCCTGCCCATCTTGCGCACGTATTGGATGAAGTTGCGCATGTAGGTCTTGTAGTAGGGCTCGATCTTCTCCATGTCGCCTTCGGCCATGGCCTGGCGCACCCAGGAGTAGTGCGTGACCAGCTTCCCGGGTGGCCGTTTCCATCCAGAAGGTCTCCATGTCTCCCAGCGTGGCCTGTGCCGCTATATCCGTGGAGCTGGCGTCGGGGAAGACGCTGGTTTGGGTCAGCTGGAAAATCTGCGGTTCTGCGGGGAGAGAGGACGGTGAAGGCAAGGGCTGGAGAAGGGAGAGCAAGGATGGAGAGAGAAAGAGGGGCTGGTGGGAAGGGGAAGAGCGAGGCGGCCCCCGAGGGAGGCGAAGCGGCCGCGTGGCCCCGCAGCCCGGGGCCATCCTCCGCGCCACGTCTCCGTCTCCGGCGTGCCATCACCGCCACCCTTAGCTGCCGCTCCGGAGAAGCCCTGGAGAAAGGAGGGAAGTCGGACCACGCATCTCCCTCGTCTTACCCGCTCCTCGCCTGCTCCTGCCTTGCTGCCTCTTCCCGTTCCTCTTGCTCTGCTTCTGTTTTTTCGGTTTTGGGGTTTTTTTTTTTTTCTTTCCCCCTCTATTTTAACATTCTGGGAAGTGGTTTTTTTCTTTCTCTTTCAGCTCACGCAAGGATTTCAAGCCACCTCGTCCCCTTCGGGCCGGCCCTCTCGCACACAGCGCCCGTCGCCCCGAGCTGCAGCGCGGACCCCCCCCCCCCCCCCCCCCCCCCCCCCGGGCCGCCCGGAGGCGCCGGGGGGCGG